CTGTTTTGATTACCTCATTCTCTTGTGACCAGCCACCTGTTTGTTACACTGCTGCTACTATTTTTGGACAAAATTGTTGCAGGTTACTACAGTGAGTTATTTCAATGAATGATTGGCTAAAAGCTGGGAAACAAGAGGTGGAGTGAATGGTCAGTTGTCAGTGTAGAGTAAAAACACCAGTTGAGTCCCATACGACCTGTCCTGTGGTGCTCACTTGTTTTTCTGGATCATTTTTCAATCACTTGATGGTTTGCTGTTGATACTGGGTTTTTTCAGAATAATAAAGGGAATGCTGACCATAAATAGCTATAGAAATGTTTGTGAGTGTGGTAGTTCTTGTGTGTGGTGTGGAAAGGTTGAGCTGGTTATCTGAAGTTTATGCACGGCATTGTGAGATTTAAGCTGTAGACATTTAGGAATGAGATTTGAAGATAGCAATAGCTGCTGGTGTTGAACCATTAGCTTTGTTTTTAGTTAAAAACAGTGAGTTGAACCTGAGGCATTATTAGGAAATAAATACATCACAAAGAAACCAAATGCTGACCCTGTGTCTTAAAGGACATGGCAGCAAAACCAGAAGACAAAAGAGAAGGACAACGGGGATGAACAAAACCATGGGATGGCTTTTAGGAGGATTCACTGAATGAGGCTCCTAAGCCTGGGAAGGAGGTATCTGAAGAGGGGAGAAATTAGATGGATATCAATTCTGTTCTGCTGCAGGATTTTTTGGTAACTAAACCCACAGGAAGCATAGAAACCTCCAGACAGCAATACATCCTAATTTACATGTCAGATTATTTGATTTCCACGTTAAATTATTTTTGTAGCATTCAATATAGTTCCTCTCTGACTGGGAATAACTTAACAGTGCTGGTTTTTTTAGGCTTCTGTTTACTTTTTATTTTCCAGAAGATAAACTTGAGAAACCAGAGAAGCCTGTAAATGGAGAAGACAAAGGTGACTCAGGTGTTGATACCCAAAATAGCGAAGGGAATGCTGATGAGGAGGATCCACTTGGACCCAACTGCTACTATGACAAAACCAAATCCTTCTTTGATAACATTTCCTGTGATGACAATAGGTATGGCCTGCCAGGAGAAGCTTGTTAGTCTGCTTAATGCATGTTTATATCATAAGTACTGTCAGTGCTACTCATTACAATCAACTCTGGATCAAAGGTGATTAGAGCTTATTTCCACATGCAGCTGGCAAAAATAAAACGGGAATAAGAAGCACAAAATTTCTTTGTGGGCAAGTGCAAAATGGTCATAGGAAGGTATTTAAAAATGTTTTAGAGCCATGCTTTTAGAACTTATTGCACAGGCTCTAGACTCTCCTTTCCAGATTTACTAAGATGTGGAGGGGTTTGTTTGTATTGCTTTGCTGCTAAATTAACACTTTAGTTAGATCAATTATGTTTCTAAGCAGATTACATAACTGTCTCAGTAAGTAGTGTTGTTCAAACGGGCAGATAGCATTTCAGGAAAATTAAACCTTATCTTTTGCTGCTGCCTTTTTATTAGACACGATGTTGTGGATTGCTGACCTATTTTGACTTGCAGGAGGGGGAGGGGGAGTTGTTGGTTGTACTTACAGCCAGATAAAATAACATCTGTAACTGTAAGCTGTTTCTTGCTTCAAATGATACTGTGTGCAGAGGATAGAGAGTGTGCTTTTCAATATCGCAAACTCTTAGAGCATTTTTAATATCTAATTAATGACTCTGTACCATATTCCTTCTTGATGAGTCCAGTGAACTGTGGCAGACACTTGGGTTCTTGTGGAAGGGATACTGTGGAGATTTACCATGTGATTCATGTATCGCCTTTCACCCCACGGCCTTTCTGGTGCCTCTGCCTTCCTTCCCGAGTTTCTCAGCAGTCCGTGTTGGTTCTGTGCTGCAGGGAGCGGCGACCCACCTGGGCCGAGGAGCGGCGGTTGAACGCCGAGACCTTCGGCATCCCCCTGCGCCCCAACCGCGGCCGCGGCGGCTACAGGGGCCGGGGCGTCATCGGCTTCCGAGGGGGCAGGGGCCGGGGCGGCGCCAGGGGCGGCTTCACCGCCCCGCGCGGCTTCCGCGGCGGCTTCCGGGGCGGCCGTGGAGGCCGGGAGTTCGCCGACTTCGAATATAGGGTAAGGTGCACTTCGTGTTCCTCTGACCCCATCCGCTGTGCTGGGAAAGGAGTGGTCAGTCTCCTGCTTTTAGGTTTGATGTTGGACTAGAACTGTTGGAGTGGTATTTTGCAGGGGCCTCTGAGCTACTGTTTTGAAAGTCCATTAATGCTGAAGTTTTAGTTACTTAGCATCATTTTACTATCAATAGCCAAAAATAGAGGTTGCCTTTTGTCACATGTCCTGAGTAGCTATTTGATAGCTGGTATTGGGGGGAGAAGAAAAAGAAGGGGAAAAAAAGTTCTACAGATTGAATGCAAGTGTTAGAGATGTAAATTGCAAGCATTTTTCCAAGCAATATTGTAAAATACAAAGAATGAGAGGGAATAATTTAACTTGCTTCCATTGTGCAACAAACTTTTGAATTCTTTGTGAATGAGTTGGCACAAATCTTACAGACTGGTGTACTGGTTAGACTCAGAGCAATCCAGACTGGTTCAGGTAAACGAGGCTTTTAGAGTTCTGGCTGGGACAGAACAACAACTTCTGCTAGTTTACTGCATGAGCAGTTAGAGTTTTGCAAACAAGAATCTCTGTTTTTTTAATAGAAATTTTAATTTTTTGAAATTAAAAAAATGAGGGGTTTCATCACAGCACCATTTCTCTCTGTTGTGAGAGAAACATCCCTCAGCTGTTCCTTGATTAGTTTTCAACAGTTAGTCCTATGACTTAAAGAAACTTTGGGTAGCTGAACATGAATGGAAATGAAGGATTGAAGATTAGCAATTTGAATTTCTGAACAAGAGTTTTGCCTCCTTCCACTTGAGTAGGAGGTGGTGTAAGGACTGAGGATTTGTGCTGTGCTTTGTATTCAGAGTGATGAGCTGCTCTACTCAGTGCCAGATGCCGACCTGATCTCCTCCAGAGGTCTGCTTTCTGCTGCAGGACAGGGGGAATAGCCAGCACAGCACAGCTTCTCCCAGGGCTGTTCTCAGATTGGTTTGTAGGGTTTGTTTTGCAAATGAATTTTAACACTGCGCTTTTGTTCCCTCTAGAAAGACAACAAAGTTGCTGCGTAGTCTACAAGAAAGCTACAAACCAGGTGAACGTCTAGATCTTCTTGAATCAGAGAATTAGTTTTGATCTCTGCAAAGAATGAAGTTAATTTGCTGTATACTTGTCACCAGCACTGGGATTTAACTATTTAATTTCAAAGGGGTGTAATGCAGTTACTTTTGAGAAATGGCCATCTTTGAAAACAGTAAGCATTAAATATATTTGAGACAGAAGGATAAGTAATTTCTTATGTATAGTTAATTATAAGCAGTACTTCGATGGAGTTTTAAGTATTTTTTCATCACTGAAAGGATTTTTCTTATTACTAAACTGTATTTGATAATTGCTTCAAGTTGTAAGGACAATGGTATGCAGAAGGCCGTCGATACTGTGAGTGTTTTGACCCACCGAAGGTTGTTTTTTGGAAATCCTGTAAAATCCCTTTTGAGGTAGTTGTTCTTGTATCAACTAGGGTGCTGGACAGTAGAAAACTTGCTTTGTCAGTCAGATATGTACACACAGTAAATACTGTTTCTTAGGCAAAGGAAAGTTTTTATATAGTTGTAAAATTCCATTATATCCCATTGCCAAAGAAACATTACAAACTTTGTATAGCTGTATAAAAAGCAACTAATTTTTTAAAGAATAAACATTTTTAAGTCGGTAAACATACTGTTATTGCAGAAAGTTGATATGCTGAAGAACACTGAATTAGTTGGGTTTCTTTTTCTTTAGCAGCTTTTCAAGCTTAAATGTTTGATTTTATATTTGGACTATAATGAAGTTTTGAAAATGTTCTTCCATTACACAAAACTGGATACACGCTTCACTGCTCTTGCAAGAATTTGATTTTGTAGTTTCTGGCATATCACAGGATTTGACCAAGTTAAGGAGATATTTTCAAAAAAAGGAGAAAAGGAATTTTCATATGTCAAGATTTGCAATTAATTTTACTTAGTGAGAAATATTAACTTTTTTTAATAATGGACCAGGCACACGAGTTGGTGATTCTCCTGGAATGCCTGGGATAAAAGTCTGTCTCCATTTGTCAATTCTTGAAACGTTAACTTTGTTGTAATACCTGTAGACATGAGCAATTTAAAGAATTCTTAGTGTTTGAAGTTGTTTGCATTTTGATAGACCGTAGCTTGGAGACATTGAGACTCTGGTTCTAAGACCACGAAGTCACAAATGACAGTATGGACTTTTTGCCAATTCTGGATAACTAGTTGCAACTTTGATATGCTGAGATAGAAACCTGGTCATTTGTGTCTGTGTATGTATATGAAGGCCACAGGAATAAAGGGATCCAAAGATTACATCACTTTGATCTAATTTGCTGATTTATTTTTTTTTACTTCAGAATGTTCAGTGGTGATAAAGACGTGAAAAACTGCACTGTTGAAAAATTGGAATATTTAAAAGTGGTTGATAGAATCTTAATTTTATAACTTTTGTATAGCACTACAAGGAAGTATTTTGTAATTGGTTTCCTTATTAAGGTCAAGTATTTGACAGCTGTAGAAGTTAGATAATATTGTTTAGTAATGTTTTTGCATGTTTAACAACTGCCTTTTGGGATCCACAAGTCACGATTCTGAACACCTGTTGAGATTTTTGACCGTAGAGGCAAGTGCTGTCCTGTTGCAATAACTCTTTACTGTCTGAGGTGTTCCAGCTGTAAATACCCGGGCCGGGAGCCGCGGGCGGCGGTAAACCCTGCGTGGCCCCGCCCCGCCCGCCCAGGCTTTTTGTTTTTTTATTTGAAACCAGAATAAACTGTTCAGTACAAGCGGCACGGCGGCGCTCGTTTGTTGCGCGGGGCGGGCGGGGCTGGGGCCGCTCCCGGCGGCGGCGCGTGCGCGGCCGGGGCGGGGCCGCCGCTCCCCTCAGCCGCCATGTCCGTGGTGTTCGTGCCCGAGCGGCTGCGCGGGGCGGCCGAGGTGAACCAGGACACGCTGCAGCGGGTGAGCGCGACCGGGCCGGGACCGGGCCGGACGGTGCCGCAGGCCCTTGCGGCCCGCCTGGGGCAGAGCTGGCTGGGGCGGGGCGCAGGCCGGGGCGGGCGGTGACGGTGCTCTGTGCCGCAGCTGCTGGAGGAGAACGACCAGCTGATCCGGTGCATTGTGGAGTACCAGAACAAGGGCCGCGCCACCGACTGCGTGCAGTAAGTGACCGAGTGGGCGGGCAGGGCGGGGCGCTGGGGCAGGTGTCGCTGACGGCAGTGAAACGCGGCTCGCGTCTGGGCTTACGAAGGGGTTTCCCCAGAACCATTTTCAGAGAGGTGTATTGGCCAGGGTGCTCCCGCTCTGCCCTCGGTGCCGCAGGCAGACGCGGCTGTGCCGCCGCGGGGAGCGCTGCAGCGCTCAGGGCAGCCCGGCCCGCGGCGCTCGGAGCGGGCAGCCCGGCCCGCGGCGCTGCCGCCTTCAGGGCTGCGAGCTCCGTGTCCTGCTGCCCATCCAAGTTGGGTAGCAGCACATGCTCGGCTACCGAGTGCAGCTCAGTACGTCATACCGGGCTTCAGCATAAGAACACTAAGTTTCCCCTGATTTATTATTCTAGTTTTCTTTCTTTTTCCCTGACTGCAAATACTGATCAGCGTACACGAGTGCAGGTATAGGCAGTTGTCTAGGAAAGAACGTCTCCCAGATCCTGTGTTTCCTCCTCTCACAGGTACCAGCAGATCCTGCACAGGAACCTCATTTATTTAGCTACAATTGCTGATGCCACTCCGCCCAGGACGCAGAAGCCCGTAGACTGACAGCAATACCTGGATGTGAGCACTGCTGCTTTCAGAGGCTGTAGAAATAGTTTAGACTCCCACTTTGAAAACAAAGAAGGTGTGGGTTTGAAAAAAGCAGGTAAAAAGTAATCTGTACTTCTGTGTTTAAAATGTGAATGTAGTTTTCAGTGTAGTATTAGGCCAGCTTTTCCCGTTACTGTAACTAATACAGCTAAAGAATGATAATTATCACATTCCCTTTTCCCTCTGAAGAACTCAATTCAGTGTACTTCTGGGAACAGCCAGGTTGTCAAGACAGCACTATAGGAAGCAGAGCCCATTTCACGAGTATGGCTCTATAACAACAAGGTAAATGTTACTCTAAGTGACTCCTACCTCCAACATAACAAAGTTGGGCATGTGTTCCATATGTAAAAGCAGTAGACTCTTGTATCCTGTATCAGAACAACTGTGCTAAATAAACTAAAGATGTTCTTTATAAGTTGTAGTATATTCTGAATTAATAAAATACATTAACAAAAGAGCTGCTCTGTGATTTAGTCAAACAGAAATGTTAACTTTCCTAGGACTGGTGGGATTGCCACACTACGCAGCAATTATGTGTAAGGGAGAAACCAAACTATTATTTTAGAAACTTTTGCCCAAGTTGATTAAGGCTTTTTCTCTGTGTTTGAACTGCTCTGTAAACAAGTCAATTCCTGCATAATCAAAATGGGTTCATGTGCTTCCTGGGTACTGTCAGCACTGCTGGCCAGCTGCATGCATGTGTGCTCCTGTCCAGTAAGGAAGAAGGCAGCTTTGCACACCCTGCACACGGCATTCCAATGCCACAATTAACACACAATGACCTAACAGCCTTGATCACAGCAGGGAGGGGGACAGAGTTTGCTTTTTACTTACGACCATCAAAGTCACTGACTTTCTGATTCCTAAAAATTCAAGTAATGTGATTTTGGCAATGTTTACCTGCCCTGTTGAGGGCATTGTCTGTACCACATTCTTCTGTGACATCACTTGAGAAAGCAGCTTTAAAGATTGGACTGTGCATAAAGTTCATTTTTATATGATAGAGTCAGTAAGTAGGCAGTTGACAATTTTCAAACTCTTAAATAATCCCATGTTAATGTAATAAGATCTTTGTTTACAAACCGAAATTACAGTTTAAGGTGCTGCTCATTTTCAGCAAGGTGCATATTTTAAACAGGTATGACCTATTAAATGTATATCTTTAATAAAGCAAATAGTTTACTTTTACAGAAGCTTTAAAATACAAACTGTACAGTTCCAGTTCAGAAGCGTTAGCTATTCACAAGAAGCACTGCAATAAGGGTAAGTTAACTAAGCACCAAACCCTTGCACTTGGCAGTGTAAGTGAAGTTTAAGGGCAAGACTCATTTGCCAAGTGCAACAATTCTTAAAATTACCAGTGTTCAGAACAATCGGAAGCAAAGGACAGAGTAGCACCCACGTGGTCAAAATGCAGACAAACTTTCTTTGTGTTCACAATTCACTTATGTAGGTCCAGAAACTTGCCAGCATTTGTAATTATGAATAAACTGCAAAAACTATAGCAATCATTTTGGCACTTGTTAGAAAAAAAGTTCAAAATTAAGTTTTCATTAACTTCCATTTTGGTCTTAGTATGAATAACCAAGTAAGTACAACCAAATTTGGGATTTAATATTAGATCTAAACAACAAGATTTAGGAAACTCGAAACCATTCATGAAGTTAAATAACCACTAACATTTTCAGTGGAAGGTTTTCAAAATTATAGTAGTACAGACCATTAACAATTTACAGACAGAAGCCACACTGATTGTGCAAAGCACATTACTGTAAAAAGTCTATGTACAGCAAACAAATCTTTGTAAACATGGTAAGTATGAAGTTTCAGAAAACATGGTGACAATATCATAAATACAGGCAACATTGGCATCCTCAAACAGCACAAAAGGTAACAATCTGGGCCTGCAAATAGAGCCCGTCACCATACAAACAAAAAAGGTGGATGGGTTTTAAATACCCAAATGTTTAATAGGTTTAGTGTTATGTATACTTTTTATTTATATATATATATGTATATATAATGCATTTCTTTTTTGGTATCTTTAGATATAGATGTACTTAGTTTGTAAAACCAAAACCAAAAAATGTGCTTTATCTTCATTGAAAAATTATGTAGTTAGAACTAATAACCCATTTTACTAGTAGTTAACATATTAGAATGATATGACTTAAGAAAAATACAAAAATAAGATTAATACTGTCAAAACTCTTATACCAGAAAATATTGTGGTTTTTAGACTCTTTCAAAGATGAAATATGAAAATTTAAATAAGCTCTAACTATATAAAGAATCTTCTGTAATCTCAATTCATATACAGTGGGATAGGTATACATATATTTACCATTGTTCTTGAATTTGTAAGCACCAGTCACTCGCCCCCATCCACTTTGGTTGGAAGATTATTCCTAATTCCACAGGTTCACTTAATGGCACATATTGACTGCAAATAACTACTTTATCCTTTTAAAAAAAATAATGTTCTTTTAACTAACTGCTACCCCACATTTCAGTTTTAGTATCTTCTGAGCCAGCTCACAATTTTCAATCAACTGTAGCATCTGAAATAAGACTTTAAATAAATGCAAGTAGTCTCTTAGGCTTTGCTTTCACACACTGCAGGAGCACCTTGTGGGTGATGCCTTTGGCCAAATGCAGCCATAGGACATGGTTTGTGTGGAACCAGGGCACCACTGCCCACACAGGTGTGGGAACCAAGGAACCACTGCCCACACAGGTGTGGAACCAGGGAACCACTGCCCACACAGGTGTGTGAACCAGGGCACCACTGCCCACACAGGTGTGTGAACCAGGCTCCCAGTGCTCACACAGGTGTGGAACCAGGGAACCACTGCCCACACAGGTGCCATCTATGTCAAGCAGCTCAGGTAATGTTGACGACACAAGGCTGAGTGGTTCTGCTGATCTTCACCTACGCTGAAGAAACTGCCACAAAACTCAGTTTTGCAACTGTTTCTGCAGCAGTTCTCAAATGAACTCACTTGTGTAGCACAGGAAAAGCTGCTGTTGCACTTCATTTTAAAAAAGCTGCCCACAGGCTGTAATGGAGAATACAAAGGTTCTACAGCTTGTCCTTTATAAATTTAAACACAAACAGTGTTGAGCAAAGTGACCACTATATATTTGCTTCAACATATTCAATGTGTTTCAGTAAGATGTTTTAACTATAAATCTATATGAAAAATAGCTATAAAATACAGTGTTTCTTGTATGGTAGTCCTTCAGCAGTTGTTTTTAGAAAAAAAAAATGTCTTGAAAGTAAAGGCAATTACACATTTTTAAAAGCATTTCTACATCACAGTTTTGGGCTGTTTCACGTACACCAAACATATTGGCCATATTTGCTCAGCACTGTAACTCAGAATCCGAGAGTTTGTCCATCTCACCCAAAGCCCCTCAATGCCACACCACGAGAGAAACAGGATATAGCCAACACAGCACTGTGAATCCAATAATGTGATTTTCATTTGGCCCTGTGCTGCAGTTTCAGTACGAAAAGCAGTTAGTACTGGTGCAGGTAGGACGGTCTGCGTTCGTGCTTTACTGGGAAAGCTTTGAAGCCCTTGTTGATCTGTTTGTGCTGGGAAGGCTGCTGGGACTGCTGCTGCTGCTGCGCGTAGGCGAAGCTGGAGGAGATGCCGGCTGCCGGGGCGCAGTCGCTGGCCCACAGGGGCGCCTGCAGCATCTGCATGGTGTCGCTCCACTGGCCCACGGGGCTGCTCACGGGGTACAGCGACGTGCTCTGGCTGGGCAGCGTGCTCGGCACAGAGGATGTGTGCTGCCACGGCGCCTTGGGAGGCCAGGTTTTGGTCTTGTTATCCTGACAAAACAAAATCGGTTGCGGGTGCTTTGGTTTAACAACAGAACACTGCTGTTTTTGAGACAATACTTAACACGTCACCTTATCACTTCCTTGAGATATTTTCACAAGATTAGTTTATATTTGAAAGCCAAACTGATGCATACATCTAGCACACTCAATTATTAAAATAGTTGCCCATTAAAAAACAATTACTTCAGCTTGACACACAGTGGCCTCACTGAAAGGGAAAAAGTAAATGACTTCCAATTTCAATATATTAAGCTTAGTGACTGACAAAAGCACCTCCCTCTACTTGAGTGTAGATGGTTTAGGTTTTCACTGATGTGAGCAGTCTGGAGATGCAGATGCTTTTCCAGTGACTGCCTCATGCAGACCCACCCCAGATGCCAGCAGGAGAGGGGACAAAGCAAAGCCCCGCCGAGCTCACCTGACTGCGGTCATCCGCTGCAGAGAGAAGGGGAGGCGATGGCAGCGTGCTGGGTTCCTGTTCACCACTGCTGTGCTTTCTGCTCAGAAAAAGAGAGACTTTCACTCTTTGGTGTTAAATGAGTCACCCTCATTAATCTGTCACTGGCACAGACAGCCTGCAGTACAGTTTTCAGTGCATGTGTTTTCAGAAACACATCTGGTTTCATGTACTTTTTGTTTTCAGTACAGGTAAAAGCAACAATACAGAAACTGTCAGGGACATGACAACGCAGTAGTTCTTGGAGCTACAGTTACAACATTTTTGTAGAGGTGAAAGGAAGCTGGGATAGACTTTTGCCCACTTTCAAGAAATTTGCCAGAAATTGTGTTTTTTCTTCTGTTACCTGCTCTTGTGGCTAGGTTTCTTTTGGTTTTTTTAAGTATCTTCTGAAATAACCTTACAGATAAGACAAAAGACCAGTTGAGGAAGTGAAACATCTGGTGAAGCACAGTAATTTTACTGATAAAAAATGTTCTACCTTTAGTTTAATTTGTGACCTAGCACCCAGTTATCAAATATAAGACCTTGACCACATGTGCATTCTGGAAGATTGTTTTTCTTGGGTTTTTTGGTCTTTTTTGTTTGGTTGGTTTGCCTTTTTTATTTGTTTTGGGGTTTTTGTTTTGTTTTTTTGTTTTGGTTGGTTGGTTTTTTTAGGAGGAGCGATTAAGGCCATGGGTTTAGATGAAAGCAGAACCTTTTATTTCATCCTTTTTGTAAAAAACCCCAATCAGCATGCTGCAATCAGGCTCCCATAGGTAAGCAGCCCTTTGCAGGTCACCTTTAGCACACTCCACCCTTCTACCTCCTCTAACAGCCCAGCTTTAGCTCTGATATGTTGTCAGGCCCTGACCTACAGAACACGGTTCTTCTACAGGTAACAGGAGACAGCAGTACTGTTGCTTCAGCTGAGGTTTTGGTCAATGAAGCACTCTCTTTGGAAACTTTCTTCTGCCCTTTAGAGCACTACATAAACCACAGGCTTTTCTTGCTCCATGATCAGTCTCAGCTATCTACTGCCTTGGCATGTTAAGTCACCCTCGTGTGTTTGTTTTCCTTCCCTGCTGCCGTTTTTTTAAAAAAAATACAGGTAATTACTACTTTTTCTGTGACTGTTCATGAGATGGCTCGTTGCCATTAATTTCAATTTAACATTCACTGAAGCTCAATTTTTGTTCCCTCCCTATGAAGTATTGGCTAAGTGTAAAGATTTAGAAAGTAGCTACTCTTACTCCTTTCTGATAATGCACACAAAAATAGCTATCCAGGTAGAAACGGTGAGAAACTGGCACTGATTTTTTTTTTTAATTCACTAAAAAGACAGACAATCTTGTATGTGTTGACTCCAAATTACTCTGTGACTGTAAATAAATATTTGGCAACTTATTTCATTTTTAGAAAGGACCGAAAAATAATTTGAGAGAACAATTCCAGATCAGAATTGGGTTGGTTGGCACTGACTTTTTTTTAAATTCACTAAAAAAACAGACAATCTTGTATCTATGTATTGACTCCAAATTACTCTGTGACTGTAAATAAATATTTGGCAACTTATTTCATTTTTAGAAAGGACCGAAAAATAATTTGAGAGAACAATTCCAGATCAGAATTGGGTTGGTATTCATGCTTCATCTTGTGCCTTTTGTTACTGTTGTTCTGACTATCCTCTGCTGTGCAATCACTGAGGTTCCAAAGACACCGAGCCTCCAGCCCTTTAGAAAAGCAGAACTGCTGTAATTCACACTACTGATAGAAGTGGACTTTTTGTAGCTGAAAATCCTGGCTTAGTTTTTCCATTACTGAAATTATTTACAAAGGCAGTTCGGCCTCCTCTTCCTACTGTGAGAAACAGGACTAAGCCGGGGTTTATTTCCCTCTCCCAGAAGAGCAGCAGCCAGGGTGAGCAGTGCACACCAGGTTAGCAGCAGCTTCTCCCCAGTGCCACAGGCTGCAGCTGAGGCAGCAAAGGCACCCAGAGGCACGGCCCAGCTGCAGCCAGGCACTCTGCAAAACCAGGGGGCATCTAAAGCCCCAGGAGTGGCATCCAAAGGAGACTCATGGAGAGGGAAAGCATCAGATCTTTCCTAGCCATAGTGACCCTCAGTGAACAGCTGGCTGTTTGCACAGTGCTGGTTTGTACAAGGAGAAAAGCTGCTAGCACAACTCACTTCAGGAATCCCCCGGTCCGCATCACCAGTGCAGTACACAAACTCATGTTTCTGGAGATCTGTGTCTTTGGCAGGAATTTCCTTTGTCTGGCTACTCAAATGAAATGACATATAAACAAAAGGAATCTTACAAAGTGGTCTACTTCTGTTCATTTTGCTCACCTCCTCTGCTTTACAGCAGCAACAAGGTCTGGCCCTGAGAACATGGAGAACAAACTGTCTCCGTTAGCTGAGGAGGTCTCATCGCTTGAGCTGGCAGAGTCTCCTTGAGTACCAGACCAGCTGTTTGTCACATCACTGCAAGACAGAAAGTTGTGTTAGCCCTTGTACTTACAGTGCCTGGTCCAGACTGTGTGCCACAGTTGTGCTGAATCTTTGTCACAGGTGATACCTCAGAGAACAACATTTCAGTTGGTAAAATGTGCCAGTAATACAGGTACTTCCACTAGTTCTGAGTGGTCACATTAACTGCTCTGTCTGTTACAGCCTCTTTATATATATTTAACTACAATAATTATACCAATTAGAAGCACCTCTCCTGTTCAGGAAGGAGAAACAAGTGATGCTTGGGTTTGGAATCACTAAGTACTTGACTTTTGCACTGCAAAACTGAGCTAGAACACATATCCATCCTACTGGTTTTACACTAGAGACTCACTGCTCTTACATTATGGACAGTTGGACAGAGAATCTTGAAACACTTCTTGTGTAGTAAATAGTTACAATTTGGAAGACATTAAAAACTACAAATGTACCTGCTGTGAGGTACCTGCCTTTTAGTAGCAGGATTAAGTGGCTAAAATCTGGAAAACCTAATCCAATCAGGCACCGCAACTTTGAAATCATCACTTTTCATCAAATCTAGGTCTTAAAGCAGATTTCAAAATACTCAGACAAAACTCTCCTGAATACATATGGGCTATAGATTCCTTATTTCCTCTGTTGGAGTCACAGCCAGTATGCATGCCACTCTAGGGATGACATCAAGCATGTCAGTACCTTGGGATCAGCAGGGTCACATTGCTCACTTAACAGTGCAGTGCAGCTTTCACAGATGCAGCAGCAACTGAAAAAACACTCAGTATTCCCACACTGTGCCAAGTCTGGGTGCAAAGTAAAGTTCTACAATAAAAGCATCCATCCTGCCCAGACTCTTACCCCTCTGTGAAGTACTCGGGAAAGGGCCAGGTTTTGTGAGGATCATCTGGAAGAGGCCAGTTGCCACGCGTGGTGCTTGGACGACGGACGTGCTGTGCTTGCCTCTTCTGTTGCATAGCCTGGTTCACCCCAGCAACATAGCGGGCAAACTCTGGATCAGAGCCAACTGAATGAAAGAAACCAACAAGTCCATTGCTGACACTCAGCTATTTCTGCTGCACTTCCAGTGCTTTAGGTGTGACCATACCCCACAGGACAGTAATTCCCTCCCTGATGATAAGTGGCAGCCAGCAGTGGATATGTTTATCTAGCAGTGAAGGACACTGAACAGGAAATGTTTTACACAGATGAGATACACAGCATACACAGTGGATAATAATCATCACATGGAAGTACACCTGCCCCTTGCATTCCATCAGGGAAACTGTGTTTGTACTATGATCATGTCTATGCTGAAAGGTTCAACATCACCATACACTGATGAAATGGACACTGTACATGTATCCACATATGTGAAAAAGAGCAGAACATTTACTGTAGTTGATACCAGAGTGAAACATGGTTTCCAGCTGTGCTGTGATCCTGCTTGGATCATACTAGAACACAGAGGGCCAAAACTGCCTCCTTCCTATAGTGATGAGACAATTCTGAAAACATTCTGATTCTGACTACAAAATATTTCAGAACAAGAATTGTATTTACAGAAAAAAATCAGTAATTTAAAAACTTCCATTCTCAACATGCTTTTTGTGTCCCAAGCACCCAATAAGGAATAAGCATGGTCTTGAGCAGACACAGCAAAAGCCTTAATCCAAAAGTGTTTCAAATGCTCCATTGATCAGAGCAAGCAATTGCTGTATTCAAAAGACTGCTGATAATGAGTCACCAGCTAAGTTTCCACAGCTTCTCTTTCTTTTGCCTTTTTTTCCTCCTTGAGAAAAACTTGGCAATCTGACTGGATTTATGGAAAATGTCTAGACTACATGCACAGTAATTGCAGTGGCAAGTACTGAGCTGCTGGCTTGCCAGTGTCAGCTGGAGATTGAGTGAAGGCTGAAGAACATCCAACAATCATGCACAGCTCACAAAGCAGAAATCTTTCATCTGACAGCTCCCTACATTCCAAACTGCATTTGGAAGATATGTTTGACACATCCAGAAAAGACCTTCACAGTGTTGTGTTGAATGCAAGTTAAAAAGACAGTGAAGAAAACTTTGTTTCTCTGGCTCCTTTTATTAAGCAAGGGCTATCTGAGAGCTGTCTAGGAACAAAACATCCCCACTTATGCTTGTTCTCCCTCTGAAATACCTTCGCATCTATTTAAGATGAGGCTGGAAGACAGTTCCTCAGATCTAAGAACAGAATCTAGATGGATTCTGAAGGAGATCCAGGCTTTTTTACTTGTGGACAGCATTAAGTTCTAAAGTGCTGGTAATATTAAAAATAGAAGCTTGCGTTAATTTTTATCTCACTGAAAACATCAGGTGAACGGGTTTTTATCAGATAGTTTTTTACTCCAAAGGACTGGAGTCACCAACATTCCTTCTATTAGTTCTTATTGCAACATTCCTTCATCAGGTTAGTGATGACTGAAGTGCTACAAAATACATTTTTGGGATTAGTTAGGCCTTCAACATGAAAAGCCATACATTTCAATTTTATAAATTCTTAATCAGCAGTTTTGCATCTGAAGAGAGACATCATTTTCAGACTCTAAGTACTTATGAAAAAAACAATGTGGTTTGTTTCAAATGACAAATGTACAGTCCTAGGAAATCCTGGAAATGAAAGCAGTTTTCTGGTTTACAGCTTTTTGACACTACAGCTTAAAATGCACATTTCTACACCACAGCTCAACCTGGCAAGTTATATGAAGAAAAGTTCTTTCTAGAGGAAAAGTATTCAGTTGGAAGGATTTTTCTTTGGTTTTGGCTTTTTAAATGCCAGATCTGTGAAAAATACTGTTTACTTATCACTACAACTGCAGTGTATCTTAATCCACTGAGCACCATTTATGGACCTTGAGTAAGTCACCTTTTCCAAGTACCACTTTCTACGTCCTTGACATTCATCAAATGGAACAAAACAAGTAGTTTTTCAAACAGCACAAGGAAAATATTACAGAAATAGAATGGATTCAAAATGCTGAGAATGTCAGTCCTTTGCATACCTGCATTCTTTCCCCCACACACACATGGACTCAGTGCTTGCTGAGACTAATTTTGTCCTTCCTTAGAGGCTGTGATAATCCTTAAGTCTATACCCTAAGTATGTTTAGCTAAGGTGATGCTAATTCAGACTCATTAAGACAGTTAAGCAACAGTGCAACTATGGTGGCTATTTTTGCCATAGAAACTCCACTAATTAATCAACTAAGTTGACAAAAGAACTATCATAATTATGAGTCAAAGGAGCTGGTTTGAGACGCCTACACATTCCAAACACAGACAGTGCAAATGAGCAGGGGAAACTGAGCCCTCTTTGATAAAAGGTTTCCCTGTTCCCCGCTCCTCCCTCCAGGCACTTGCCATAAATGCACACTACAACACTCCTGCAGCTGTGCTCCAGGCCAACAGAAGTTACATTTACAAGGCAGCAGCTGTGTAAGTTGTTCTTAATACTACCATCAGAATCATGCAATCACAGAATATTCTCAGTTGGAAGAGACCCACAAGGATCATCAAGTACAGCTCTCAAGCCAATGATCCACATGGGGATTCATCTCCTCTTAAATTCCACAGTCAATTTTTGGTCTGTAGATATTTGTTGATAACTCTAAAATTTTACCTCAATTCATCTATATTTACAATCTATTGGTGGTCCAAACACATGTGGCAAACCTCATGGCACTTGCTCTTTAGTCTCCAATCCTCTGACATCCAAACTTTTAATTGCAGAACCAGCTGTGGAACAGGAACCAGTATGACTCACAGGGAACTGGGGAGCATTGGAGGGAAAATGTGGGGATATGGAAAAGATGCAACCCAGCTGTATCTCCAGGTTACAAGACTGCTAAAGAGCAGGAAGAATAATTTTGAGGAGAGGGAATACACCTGGGCTCAAGAGTTTGATTTTAAACGATTTTACTAAGTAAGTATAGGAGGAGCATCATCTGTAAGTATCTTTTCAGTACTCTGCTGAGCTCCATAAAGGAAAGGTCAGACTACTACAACTGGGACAAGAAACAAAAGCTCAAGAGTTCGATTTTAAACGATTTTACAAACTAAGTATAGGAGGAACATCTTTTCAGTACTCTGCTGAGCTCCATAAAGGAAAGGTCAGACTACTACAACTGGGACAAGAAACAAAGAATTGGTTCCCATGCTTGCTTTAAGATCACCTTCTGTTACAAAAGCAAATAAGCACACACACAAATCCCTGCTTGCTCTGGTCAGCACCCCTACATCCAGTGGGCAGCACGGGGAAATGACAGTTATTGCCAGCAATATTTCACAGTATTCTTTTACAAAGGACTCTTTAAAAAAGCATGATAAAGGAAAAGACACACACCTGCAGGGTCAAAAGGCAGGATTTCTCCCAACATCCCAAACACTCCATCAGTTTGGTCACGATTTGGCCACGTGTTGTTTCTAGGTCCTTGTGGTTTCTGTCCTAACATCTCTGCCATCACACTGTCCATATAGCTGCTCACCAGACCCAAGCTGTACAAATCAGAGCTTAAATCTGAAAAACCAGGATTGTTCCACTGATTTATATGAGACAACCCAGCTCCAACAGCCGGAGCTTGCTGCTGTGAAGAACTGCTGAGCCATTTGGCAGGTACACGTTGCTGTGGTCCAATAGGTTGGAGCAAATGTTGGTAATACTGCATTTGCTGCTGCTGCTTTTGGGACTGCTGCTGGGACAAGCCTTGCTGAGGAGGATGCAGTGGGGTGTGAGACACAGACTGTGGCTGCTGTTGAACTGCTCCTGACTTTTGTTCTGCTGCTGTGGAGGATGCAACAGAGTTCCTTCTTTTCACCATCGGAGAAGTCTGCTGGGATTTGCCCATGTTAAAACCAGACAAGAAATCTATAACATCCTGCATTTCTTGGTCAGTTGGTAAATTCATACCTTTGTCATCCTTGCCATCATCTGGTTTGAAGAAGCTGTCCCTTCTGTCCATCAGAAAGCCATTGACGAGCTGGTTGGCTGTGCTCTGCGCTGGCTGCAGGGCATCCGCGCTCCGAGGGAAGTTACCAATGCTCAGGATGTTCTGCAACCGTGCGTCCATGCTAGTGGGCATTTTAGCTTTCTCCTCTGAGCTGGAACTTATGAAGACGTTTTTGGAAGGTGTACTGGGGATTGAGTAGCTTCCTGTGTTACTTGTACTAGTGCAGGAAGTTTTTTTTGTAAACCGTGAAGTCAGTTTTGAGAATGTCTTTTGCAGACCCCCTGAAGATTTGCTTCCATTCCCCGATGGCATGTCAACTTGGCTCCCAAATTCTGAGATTTCACGCTGTAACTGGATCTGAATACAAGGCAAAGCTTGCTCCCTGCATCAGCAAAAAACATGCATATCAAACCACCTAATACATAACTGAGTTTGTACTTTGAGGGAAAACGTGTATTTCAATAATAGCTCAAGAAAGAAACAACACCAAAGACTGCCAAGTCCACCAGCTACTTCTTATGGTAATAAAGCAAATTATTCCTCAGATTTGCAATACTTTCCAATTCTTAAATTTTAGTTGTACTTCAAGACCTAAATGGAGACCAATTTAATATAAATCAAGTATTTTTGTAAGAGAGAAACAAATACTTTGTAACCCTTGGATATGCTGCTGGTTTGGTTTTAAGCAGTCTCCTGTATCTCTGGATGTATCCAGAAGGTATCTGTGGGGATTAACAGTGTCTCACTCTCAGTCTGACTCTTGTTTTCCCCTTCTGATGAGCTGGCACTATCAAATCCCTCAGCACAGATTATTCAACAACGACAGCTTAGTTTGAACTAGAAAAGAGATGTACCTTCCTTCCTTCCACCTGTGTATATCAAACACAGCAGTATAGAGCACGTCTACCAGCCCCAAAGTCTTCTCTGGATCCAGACTCCTCTGTAGCAAAGACATTGTTGCTGGATCTTCTTTCAGACACCTGTCATCATTAAGTTTAAATTAGAAATCAAAATGCTCATTTTTTTTACATTAAACAATTCTACCCTGTCAGTCAGAATACAAAAGGCCAATTGCTGCACTCCTGCAGAATGACCTGGGAATGCCATGGGGTTCCTGGGCTGCAGGAACAGAGCCTGCTGTGGAACAGAGCCAACCTAACTGCGGGGTCCAGCAGGACAGTGCACTGAACCCTGCACTGACAAGAGCTCTTCAGGGCAGGCACAGCCGCAACGAACGCCCAACACTCAGCACCCCTGTCTGGAACACGGCAAGGGCCTGACACAGCCCAGCACTCGCCGAGAGCCCGAGCCTGGCAGGGTCTGCAGGGAGGCGGCTCCGCACAGCCAGCGGAGCGCGGGGCGGCAGCGGAGAGGCACCGGAGCGGGGAGCGGGGCGGCACCGGAGCGGCACCGGAGCGGAGCGGAGCGGAGCGGAGCGGAGCGGCACCGGCGGCTCGGGACGCGCTCCCGCCCAGCGCCAGCAGGCGGCGCTGCCCCGGCAGCGACCTCGGGCACCGGGAACCATCCCGGAGCACCGCGACACAACACACACGGGCACGGAAACACACACGGACACACGGACACACACACGGACACGGACACACGGACACGGACACACACAGTCCTTCCTTCTTCCCCTGCCCCCGGGACACTCCTTCCTCCCTTCCTTCCCTCCCCGGGACACAGCACCGGGACTCTCCTCCCTCCGGGCGTGCCAGCAGCACCATTAGGAACAGGCTGCCTCTGTAAGCAGTCCAGTGAATCAAATGTGTTGTACTGAAATTCCTGACTCCTTCCCAATTAGAGACAAGTGCTGCCACTGCTTCCTGCTCCCGCTGCTTTGAACGGGAAGAAATCCTCACAACCTGCAGATGGACCATTCTTCACCAGGCAGCCACCTAAACTGGCAGGAACAGCATCTCGTGGGGCCCAGAGGCCCATGGCTGATGACACCTAAAGAACAGCCCAGTGAAGAAAGAGCAAAGACTCTCACATTAACCCAGCCATTTCTCAGCCTTCCTGAGCTACAGCTGGGACTGCTGGGATGAACCATAACAGGAGTACTGGCAAATTATTATTCCTGAAACCTTCTCTTTGATCAACAAGCTTTTACATTTCCTACAAGTCTCGGTGCCCCTGCACTGCCTCTCTTGCCTTAGGAATGGAGGTGTTCAACCAGTCCAGACAGAGGAACTTAAGGAAGCTGTGCCATAATTGTGCACGTTCTCTCTTCCATTTGTACTGCAGCAATTTTCCCCACGTATTTCAGTCACAATCTGCAATACAGTATTTTTATTTACCAAGTTGATGGAACTTGCACCACAATTCTTGATCCTTCTAAACTTATCTGAGGAGCATAGGCTTCTTTATTTTCAATCTGTGCCGTGTCCACAACCACCTAGTAAATAAAATAAAAGGGAAAAAATTTTAAGAATTAGTTATTTTATCACCCCGTAATTAAACTCTAATACTCTCCCCTTCCAGTCATGCTACAGGTACAAAAAAACCCCAAATAAAACTAAACCAACTCATGAAATCATTGTAAATTTACTTCTATTTTAATATAAAATTAGATTAGTACAGAAACCTGTATTTCAAGGACTTCATTCTTCTCAGTGACATCCTGTAGTAATGCATCACTGTGTCACTACCAGCTGCTCTACTCCCCTGCTGGTAGTTCTCAGTTCTCAGTATCTTTGAGAAGTTTAGCACAGTTACTACTTTAAGAGCTCCCAAACACCTACTCAGCAAAATGTTTTAAAATAATTTCACTGTAGTGCATGGTATGATATAGACAAGTAATATCCAGCCAGAAACCCTTCAAACTTCCCAACACAAACCCCCCGCTTTTAAGATTATAAAATTCCACACCAACATCTCTCTACCTAATGAAACTGCACTGTTATTAATTCCTGATTAAATAAAGAGAAGAAGAGTGACTGTTCAGTTTGCTGGACTCTGAGCCACCTGTAAGATGTCACGCAGACATATGGAAGAGGAAAGTCTTGAAAACCAACCCTGTGTCATGAACCTTTCTTTTTAGACAATGGAAAAGGAATGGATTCACTTCAGCTTCATTTAGCCTTTAATGTAGTGACAGTAAGTTCCATATTTGGTTCATGCTTTCTGTTGTTGTCCAGTCTGTGTGGGTTGGCCTTTTTGATAATTTCCATAATTTCCTATTTTGGTCATGCTGAAACAGCAGCTTTTTGGCAGCAGTCAGCAGTTCTTGCTTCAGTGACTAGCAGATTAGCTGTACCATTTATCCTTGAAATGGCAAAAGTCCTCAGAACTAAGCCTCAAGGGACAATATTGACTTTGTTGCCATCTCCTAACCTACACTGGTCCTGCTTCTAAATGTCTGTTACTGGGTATGAAAAAATGTGAAACAAAATGCTGAGTTTCTTCTCTCTCACTTTAACAAAACCATCAAATAACACTTGAACATAATTATTTCCTACCTTTCAAATATTTTAGCAGAAGGCCTTCTTTTTCCTTCAGTTGACTCTAAGCCTTTGCCCAGGTTTATTCAATTTTAAACGTGTCTAAGCAGGGTGATAAAAGGCCACACCATCATCCACCTCTGAAAATACCTCTCATTTTGTAACAGGACAATTCCAGTAGTCTTTTCTTGGTGTTTGTATGTTTTAATTTTATTTAATTTGGTAATCTGCAATTCAGCCCTATTGCAGGGGTAATTTATAACAGTTAATAAATGTTAACAGATAATTCCTCATAACTGTGATAAGGAGAAATGCAGGAGTGATTGTTCTCAACTCCCAAGAAAAACACAGTCTGCACCTCAGGCCTGAAGTCAGAGGTGAAGCTCTGATTTGGGCAGGCCTGTGTCAGGTTCTGGTTGTGGTGCACGGTTGGTGCCCATGGTCCAGCCTTTGCTGGGGTGTTCCTCCCCCAGACAAACCTTTGTTTCTTCCCTTTGCAAAAAGCTTTACATTTCTCAACATCTCTCAGAGGACGTATGGGATTTCAGCTTTACTAGGGGATTTAGTGCTCCTGCAATGCATGTTGATGTTTGCTATGGAAAGGTCTAGTAGCACAAAAAAAAAAATATTATCTGTTAACCTCTTTGCATGAGGCCAATTGGAAGTTTTATTTCTGTTCCTCCTCTAAATTCAGCTATTTGAATGTACATCATTTTTATTCAAACATGCAGATTTCATCAGCTGACCCAAATCTCAAAATGCAATTCTTATTATACACATGCTAAGGTAAGAACTGAAAATCAGCACTTCAAATTATTTATGTTAAAAACCTATAGCCCAAAATAACCAAGCAAACTAAGTCACAACTCATTGTGCTTTCCCCACTTCATGAGTTGCTTCTTGAAAGGAACAAGGGCACAAGACAGGTTAAAAGCAGTGAGAATATCAAGTAATGTTTTTTTCCAACTGGGCACGTAACATACAGATCCACACACAATTCTGAATGAATGCAGCCCAGTATCTAAAGCAGGGCACCAAACCTACGTAATACTGTGCCATGACTCATTTATCTGCCTTCTTCATAAAATAAACTTCAAATAAACACATCCTCCCTCCCCGCCTGGTGGTGCTTAGAGAACAGCTTCCTGTACCTCAGACGTCCATTGTTCTTGTTTTACAGGTGCTTCCTCTCTCCCTTCCACCCAAAGAACTTTTTAAAGACCCAAATTACAATTTCTTGTCACTGCATGAAACTACATATAAGCGTAACTGGATGTTGTGAAAAAAAGATGGCACACAGTTTATAAAGAAAAACCTCAACCCTCATCCCCTTCTGAACTGTAACAAATCAAAGTGAGAATGAAGGAGAGCAGGCTTGCAGGTCTTCTGTCATGTGCACAGCTCATTATGTGCCTTTGAAGAGAGAAGCCTGCTACTTTCAGAACCTGATGTTCATGCAAAAATCTTTGGAGACATTCAGGATTCAACACAAGCGAAACTCCATAGCTCAGCACTGTCATTTGGGAGAATGTGTCAGCAAGTTTTATGGTGACACTCTCCAAAAGTGATGACAAACCTGAAGAATGTCAGTGCTTCAATTAGCAGCAGGTCTAACTTGTTATGTCTAGACTGGGGGACACCAGATTTCCAGATTCCTGAGTCCAAATGTGCCTCGTGCCACTCCTCAAATCCCCTGGGGCAGGACTTGGGTGTGCACAGCACTGAAACCCCCTGCAAAGGAAATGGTGGAAGGTGCAGCATCCTCCCAGGCACTCCTCATCCAGACACTCAGGAGCCACGAGCTGCTCCTGGGCTACAGCACCCTCCCAAAGGGCTGCTGAGAAACTCCTTCCTCCTTGGCCTCATTTCCTGTACCTCACTGCTGACTCCCAGCATCCTACCACCAACTGTGGCAGCTGAACACACAATCCCATTTAACCCTATCCTTTTTCCAGTCCTCCTTGTATTTATTAGTATTTAATACACATTTTCTTTCAAAACACCTAAGGAGAAATTTGATAAATCCTACTATTCCACAGTTTCTCTGTCCCTGCAAAAACACCACCTTCTTATGGCTCCCTGTAAAACTTCTCAGACAGAGCACTGCCCTCTCCTGCCCTGCAACCCCTGCATCTCAGTGAAGCAGGGACTGACAGCAGGGCACAGTGATGGTCTGCACCTTTGATTTTAGGCTGCCATTATATGAATGGTCAGTTGAATTCCAGTACAATTTCAACCTACTTCTCTAACAGGTATTTACTATTGAGGGACTATCTAAGATCTGATATCTAGCATCAAAGGGATCCTAAAGTAGAAATATCTGGCAAATTCACGATTTCCAATTTATCATTCAATAAAACTTGTTGGTAATGTATCATTCAACATTACTATTGGTACTGTTAAAAGGATAACCTTTTAACAGTACCAAAAGCACGTGGTTTAATTTGTAAGGATGGAAGGACTAGGTCACCAAACCAGCTGTGTGATTTGTCTGAAAAAGAGACTTAAAAATATGCAGCTATTTGGGTCCTTTAATCATAAATTCATTACAAAGCCCTCATGGTCCCCCATCACCATGAACAAGGAATCAGCAATGAGCCAGCAAGAAGCATTTAACTCACTGTAGGTTAAAGACAATTCAAAGAATACTTGAAGAAGTTACAATAGGCTACAGTGTACTTTTATCCTTGCATTTCCTTCCTATGTTGAAGGTGCAGCCTCTTCCCCTACTCACAGTAGTCCAAAAAACCTACATGTCATGCACAAACACTTCACTAAGTGCAGAGATTGCAGTAATTAGTCATGGGAGCACAAATGCATTTTCTTATCAGAGTATGTTCCAAGCATCTATTTTTATCAGGTGCTTAGATACTGTAAATTCCACTGGTTTTCTTCCCCTCAAGAACACAATGTCTACAGCAGGCATTTAATCTTTCTGTCCTCTGTTGGAGATGTCAGGTAGCATTACCTGGTGCAGAGACTTGCTGGTTTATGCTGGGCAGGAAATTCAGCTTCCAATCAGAGCAGAGAGGAAATGAAAAAAATGGCAGGTTTTGAAGCTAATCTGACAGGGGGTAGATGTATCTTTGGGCCTGTTCATTTTTTTTTAACATGGTCATCTATGGATTTGAAAGTATTTCTATTTCTCTACGAAACAGAAGTTTCATTTCTTGTGTTCTCTCTTGAAATGGAGACCAGGAAGCACCTGGTGCATTCCTCTGTTCCTGTCAGCTACAGACACCACCTACAGACCCCCACTGCACAAGGACACTGCTTAGAAATCAAGTTAACTGCAGCACTAAAAATAGAGCAACACAGAGTAAGACACTGCAAATTAATTTCTAAACTCCAAAACACCGAGCTTCTCCTCAGGGTGTTTACAGAACCTTTGTTTTCCTGGGACTCTTGGTAGCCACCTACCAGTCCAGCCTGGCCAAAGAGCAGCTGCACAGCAGTTTTGCAGGCTCCTCTCCACGTGGAAGGGCAGACCTGGTTCAGCACTTCAGTCACGGGAGAGTCGTCCCGGGGTGTGAGTCCATTGTGGCACCCGGCCTCCTTGATCAGCTGCAGCATTGTGTGCTGGAAAAAGAACAAACATTTGTCCTACCCAGCACACGAGTCACAAATGGTACCACCAATGCCTCCAGATGGATTTGTCATTGTCCTACATGCTCTTCAAACAGCTATCATGTCTGCAACCCCTCAGCAGTCATATAACTGGGAGAGTTCCATTGCAGAACAGAAATATGGAAGATTGTCTCTGCTGTTTGGAACACAACACTGCTCCAAAATCATAAACAGTATTTCTGCTTATATTCTTGCAAACCAGTTTAATCAAAACTAGAAAAAGCACTGCAAAGAGAACAGAAAAGCAGCATTTTGAGCAACTTATTATTTCAACTCTTTCAGGAGCAAGGAACTGGGTTTATCTAAAAAAAAAAAGTGAAAGTGCTAATTAAAATTGCCCAAATTACTTCTGAATGAACATATTTTCCATTTGTTTACACTGAAAATACAATTAACTTCTCCATAATTTAAAATTCTTTAAAACAATTTGATTCCAGTTGGTAAGATGACACCAAAAGGAGCTCTGTTACAAAGTATGTTTTTCAAGGAGCTCCCTTAGCACCAGTCTGGGCTGACTTGTGCACCTGAGAAGAGGAAGGCTCTGATATGCATCCCTGGCTGGGGAATCTGTAAGGGCTCACTTTCCTCTGTATTTCTTCATAGCTAACACATCTCTTTTCAAGAAGTTCACAGATGCTTCATTGCACCCTATATCTCTGCCTGTTATGCCTGTACTTCTCTCCTATTTGACCAAAATTGCTCAGGTGGTCAAAATGTTATCACAAACAGGTGTAGCCCTACAATGTTATCCACATCCTGTTTCCACAGGAAGCCAGGTTGAAAACAAGCACTGTTAAACACAGTTTTGGCATGGAACTCCTGTTACTGTTGTTCTCTACATTTTAATGAATGTTCTTTCTCCCCCCATCTTTTCTTCTGTGGTTAATTAGGAGTTATTACCGTTTTCAGCTTCAGGTTTTCCGCTGCAGACTCATTGAAGGAGATTCCTTTCAGAAAATGGGATCCAATCTGGACAGGGACAGTGGGCAGCTCACACTGAATGGGCTGAGGTGGAGTCTGTCTCCTTCCTGTTTGTTGAGCTTCAGCTTCACTGCAACAGCCCTGAAGTGCAGAAGAGCAGATCCAACAGAAGAAATGAAGACATTAGAAAATCCTAATACGGGTCCAAATGTTTGTGTATTTTAAGGACCCTTTTCAAGGTGAGGAGGGATGAAAGAGAGCAGGTTCAGCAGATCCTACCTGAAGACTTGCTTCAATTGCTTTTGGGTTCAAGTGGAAGCCAGCCTTCATTGCATATTCACAATGGCCCAAGCTCTCCAGAGCCCCTTTGTAAGCCTGACATAAAACAAAGTTGAGAAAGCACAGGTGTATCAGCAAGGAAGCAAGCCCACAGTCACTGTGCCTGGGTACAGCCAGGGACTGGTACAAGGATTTACCCCACTCACTTCTATGGCATACACACATTTATTTATCATGCCAGACTCCAAAGCTGCAGGTCCCAAATACCTCTGAGCTGTCTGTGGTACACAATTCTGCAGGAACACACTCCTGCCCTACTTCACTCCTTGACCCACTGACTGCACTACATGCACATGAAAGCAGCAGACTTGAAAAACCACCTGCAAAGCACTGTCAATTTTCATGTTTAGCTCTTTGAGCTGATGTTCAGGGATGGCCACAGTCTGTGAGCAGAAAAGCTGCTGAACTTCAATTCCTGCCAAACATCCATCACAGCCTCTTTCTCGCAGTCGAGATGTGGCCTGTAAGGTAAATAAAATCCAGGGTGAGGAGGGTAAGCATTAAACCAGGTCAAGCTTAATTAAATTTCAAAAAAGAACAGAAAAGCCCACAGACTTTAAAATCCTCTACAGGAGATGAGAAGCAGCACCTAGGGAAAGGACCTGGAGGAGACTTTATTATAACTTACTCAACTTCTGCTGCCACTTTGGAAGCAGAACTGATGTAACCTGTACACCTCCTGGGTGTTGCAAGCACTTGGGTTCAGCATTGTTTGCTGTTACTATTTCAGCTCCCTGGCAGGACCAGGGATCCTGTTACACAGCTCACACCATGGCTGTGGTTACCTGAGGACAGACTTTTAACTCCAACATAAACAGAGAATATGTTAAATCCTGTCTACAAGCACTCCTGTGTTCACAGGATGATACAGTTCATAAAGTTATGGGTGATTACTGTGGTGCAATTTGAGAAAGGCCACACAATGCTAAGATCAACTTAGCACAGCAAGAAAACAGCTTTGTGCCACATGACTTTGAAAAACAAGAAATAAGCCAAATATCTATTTTTAGCTGTAAAATCCTACATTATTGAGCAGGGTAAAGCAAATAGATGTGGGTTATTTTCCAGTCTAGGAAGGAGTCTTGCTCTAAAGCAGGATGTCCAAACTGGGGGCTTCTGGTGCTACAGCCAGTGGACAGACAGGGGCTCACCTGACAGACAGGACACTGCATTTCCCAAAGTGAACCTTGAGGAGCAAAGCTTTGAGCTACTGACAAAGTGTCACCTTAGACTTCAATCTAAGCAGTGCTCTCCTGCCAGAGAGGCTGATTTTGTAGGAAAACAGTGGATTGCCTTCCACTCCAAAGTAAAAAATTGGCAAAGATTTCAGTATTTCACATCCCCCTTCTATCAAAATTATTTCTATTAGTCTATCTACAATTATGAGAGAGAGATCTGATTTATTTAGAAACGACATATTTTTCTTAAGCAATCCTGATACCCTACACAAATACTCCAAATCAGTCATTTCAGTCAATCAAAAATTGAGAAGTTTCTTCTATTGTTATTTTGGAACTATGGAGAATCTGTATTTTATCTCTCTCCTCCCCATGTATGTTTAATACAGGATTTGATTAGCACAATACTTGTACAAAACTATTTTGAAATACAGGTTTTGAATTTCTGAAAAACAGAAATAGGTGAAGTGGGTCGCTTAAAAGATAAAAAATAAAGCTAAGGCCCTTGATTCTGTGAAGCCAAGTTTAATTTTAACCACAGTTTAAATAAATTTGATAGCAACTGCAGGGCATTTCTAGAAACTGTAGTAGTTGTAAGAATATAAGTATATTACACATAAAATTACCTACTTTTATGCCAAAGAAGTACAGCTATACCAGGATTAGACCTGTTACAATTATCTGTAATACACCTAAAGCACTCCCAAATCCCTATTTTATCCAGTGAAATAAATTTATGCTGCAGTAAAAATCACAAATAATCCCTCTGCACCCATGTAATTCATTTGCTTTCCTGTACCTTGCAGATGTTAGTGATAGATTGAAACCTTGACAGGATTTCTGGTCAGGATGACTAACAAGCCTTGTGGGCCAAATGAGACTGCACATGCTCCAAGCCCTCTGGATTTAGGGAAAACACACACTCTGTGTCTGAGTCCATTCTGGTGTATCAGTCTCCAGGCTTCAATACAGCCAGGGAAAGCAGAAAACCTCACAAAACTGAATGTCTTTATAAAGTGCTGGTTTTGGCTGGAAAGGTAAGGATTCCACAGATGACAGTGTTTGTCAAAGTACAAGCCCAGAGAGTGGCACATTGAAGTAACGTGGGTCACATTCCAACAATGGATGCATCAAGCAACATCAAGCTGAACAGCATGAAGACAGAAGTGTTAAAACTTACCACAAAGATTTTAAAGCATAGAATAGAATTTGTGCTCAAAAACTGAGAGAAAGAGACACTACCTAGGTTATTTTTCATCAAGATTTTGTTCTGCTTTCACAGAGACTTGTTTTTATTTTTAATTCCCTCTGTCCGCCCTATTTGAAAAGTGGTAGTTCATTACTAAGAACAAAAATCTGCTTGCACTGCTTGTGTGCTCCTTATGTACAACCCCGTCACAAAGAAAACTTCACACAGGGCAAAGATAGTGCAGTCATCACATGAGTAAAATGAGTTTTAGTGTCTGAAACCAACTGTGCCACATTCCCCCCTCCAAATGCAGTGTGTTTTTAAAATCAGCTATTTTCTTCCTTTGCTAGGACACCCAGGCTGACGTCAGGTTTCACTAAATGCACTGTGCTTACAGCAAGACCTCCTTACCTCTGCTGCTCCTCTCCAGGATCTTATTGCATCTTCCAGCTCGTTTGTGGGGCTTATATTTGAGGCTCCAGTCCCACTAACGTTCTTCCTCTCCTGAGCTACAGCTTCAGCAAAGCAGGAGTGTGCCACTGGCTGGACTTTCTGCAAAGCCTGGGACAGGAATTGGAAGTGGACCTGCATCACTGTCAAGAAACATCGCCCAAGTACCTGTGGGAGACAAACAAAGCAGTTTCAAGCACATAGAAGAGCTCATGGAAGCTTCCCTTCTTGCTTTTTGTTTGGTGTTTGGAGTAAGGAACTATATTAAACCCTGATTTTTTAAATTAAAATAACGCTTCAGATCATAAGAAAGAGAGGATATTTAACCATTTACTTAAAATAGTAGGTGGGTAAATGAGCATTAGTTTCTGTCAATGAAGAGGACACCAGACTAATTTTGAGTAATTTTTAGTTCTGTACTCAAGTTCTGACTACTTGATGAATAAAAAGCTTGCTCAGTTACTTGGCAAAATCAAGCACAAAAATGGGAATAGCATATTATCACAAGGACCAAGTCAGCACCAAAACCCACCTGCACAAAGCCTGGCTGAATTTCTGATAAAACCCAAAACAGCAACCAGAAGACAATAATTTGAAAACATTAACATAAAATGCAGGGGCTGGCCAGCAGCTGTGGGCATCAGCAGCCTCTGCCCCCTCACCCCATGGACAGTGCCCAAAGCTGAAATGTGCCACTGGCACAGTGTGACAGAACTGCCTGGGGGACAGGACAGGGCAGGGCAGGGCAGGGCAGGGCAGGGCAGGGCAGGGCAGCAGGGGCAGGGCAGGGCAGGAGGGCAGGGCAGGGCAGGGCAGGGCAGGGCAGGGCAGCAGGGCAGGGGCTCCCTGGAGGAGGGCACAAGGTGCCACCCCCCATCCTCTCACTGTGCCCAGGGACACTGGGCCATCCCGGGCACCACCAGCACTGAGAGCTGCTGTGCCAGAGGACTCTGGGGCAAGAACAGCAGTGCCAGCAGCCAGGGACACCCTGCAGAGCCAGGCCCCCAGCAGGAACTGCTCCTTCTGCCCCAGGGCTGTGCTCCCTGGCAGGGAAAGGTGACAAGTGTAGAACAGGGAGCTGCAGAAAAAGGAGGATTCTCCACATCACTGTACAAAGTATTTAAAAGCTATTCTAAGTGTTTCTTTCATAGAGTTTACCACACAAAGCCTTTAAAATGTGTATTTGACTATGATTTATTAAAAAAGACTCAACTTGAATTCCATTTTAGGAATAATTCATAAAATACACAGATAATGTACAAAGCCATCATGCCTTGCAGCCTTTAAATCATCTGCCTTATTTTCAGCTACATTCTTCTGGAATAAAACCATTCAGACACAATGTATCTTCCTGGCAGGACTCTCCAGGCACACCAACAGCTCCATGCATTTACTATCTACTTCAGAAGAACCAGTGGTGGCAATGCTTTTTCCACTGCATCCAGACTCCTTTTGACATTCCATTCTGGTTCCATCACTTCCCTTCTTTGTACAAGGCATAAAATTAAACACTTTTGGTACTTTGACTGACCTCTGAAAGTGGAGCTTGCCTTATTAAAAAAAAACAGTCAGCAAATGATAAAATAAAGAAAACTCCAACTTTGCTGGGTACGAGATTAGAAAGATTTATAAGAAAAGTGCAGGAAGAGGCAACTGGTGATCTGAATTATTTCTGTGTAGGAAGAATGCAGTTCTCAGGGGAAGATGAAACTAGCACTCATTAGGAATTTCAAGCTGATTAAATTTCAAAGAATATTTAAGGTACAAAGGTTGAAGCTTCCCCAGCCTGGGAATAATGCTCAAAATAAACAAATTATTTAGGTTTTAAGTGGCAGCACACAGCATTCCTACTTATAACTTACAATGTTAAACAGTGAAGATAAATAGTAACATCTGCTTTACTGAACTTTTATTTTGTTTGAAAAAAATCCATTTCAGCCTTCCTCCAAAATGGGTAAGGATGGTTTAAACTGCTTCACTACCAAAGAGGTGGAGAGGTGCACTGTTCAAAGAGGTGCACTGTTAACCACTCCCTTTGGATGGATGGTAGATGCCAAATTCATTTTACAGCTTTAAAGAGCTCACTTGGTCAGATTTTCTGCCAAAGAGCCCCAACTTGGCCTTATCCAACCTCCCCCACCAGGGCTGGGCACTGAGCCCTGTGCAGGGCAGCCAGGGAACCTCTGCTGCACATCCCTGAGCAGCACCAGCACGTGGATGCAGCTTCCCACTTCAGAGACACCACCAGCTCTTCTTCAGGTTTATTTTCCCATGCAGGAGTGTGAGACTCTCCTCCTTCAGACCAGAACAAGCACAAACCCTGCCAACTGTGCAGGAGCCAAAGCTGAACTGGAGCCATCTCAGGTGTCAACCAGTGAGATCTCCTTGGGAGTGGTGATGTCTCCTTCATCTCTTAGATTCATTTATATTGCACCATGAGGTCTTCAGCTTCTTCTGTCCCACAGAACACAGCTCCAGCACCTTGACTCCCTGACCTGTGTCAGGCAGGACAGCTTTTGGCTCAGCAGAGCCTGACCTGAAGGAATCCTCCTCCTGCTCAGGCAGTTGGAAGCAATGGGGCTTTTGGTTCCCTACAACAGGAGCACCAGGTGAGATGGAGTGTAGGTTACTCTGTCCCACCTCATCCTCCTAATGGGGGCACACAGCTTTGGAATACTGCATGGGATGAAGTGTACACAGAATTGCCACTTTTCACTGCAATCAGGGGTGCCATACAAACTGCCTGGCAAGAAAATCTTGTACAACAGATTCTTTAGAAGAGAACACTACCAGTAATAAAGCAGCAAATAGCAAGTGTCAGTCTCCCACACTTGATACAAACACTGGCTTGCAGTTCTCCAAGTGCCATTTTATGCAATAGAACCTTCTTCTTTTTCTCCCTGTTTTTGGCCATTTCCTTAAACAAGCAGAATGCTCAAAAAGCCAAACACCACAAGAGAATTATTCCGTGCTTTCCCCTAAGTGTCCTTGGTGGCACAGCCTGAACGTGTGCCCCCTTGTGAGCCAACACCCTTCCTGTACATGACCAGAAAACATATTCAGGTTTACTATCTAGCAGCTCCCTGCAGTCCCAGAGAGTGATCTCAGGAGCAGAACACCAAACACCTCCAGGGAAGGCTCAGTCCTGCCCGTGGGCTGGGGTCACTGCAGGCTGAACCAGATTCCAGCAGAAGCTGCAAGACTTGGAAACCCAACAGACTCATTTCTGCCAGCAGTGACCCTAAAAGGCACTCATGATAATCTGATCTTGACAGCTACTGAAGTGGTCACTATCATTGAGCAGAAAAACAATTCAGTGTGAAGAATTTTAAAAATGAAAAGCAGCAATTAAAATCTAAGACAAAATATTTTTTTGCCACTAACAACTCCTCAACACAGAAGAGTCTGGAGCCAATCCCTGGAAATCCCAGGAAAGAATAATTTTAAAAATAGTTAAATTTGGCTTTACAATGTTTGTTAAGGAAAGCCTACATTTAAAATTTACTCAGATATTTTTGTCTCACAAGATTCTTGTTCAAAAAATCTTAGGCTATTTTATACACATAAAAGCCAAAAATTATCTGCATTTAATACAAAATAGAGCACCCAAGAACATACTTGGTGCCCATCCATGCTTCCCTTCTGTACAGGAAGGCAATGTGGGCCTTCCTCTCATTACTACCACTGCTAAGACAATCCAAGCCCTGTGTAACTAAAAGTAACTCTTTATATTTTGCATACTGAGGCTTCTGCAAAGCTTCACAAGAGATGGGGAAATGTACTTTGACCAGTTTGACTCCTCCCTATGGATTTGCTTTAATGTTTTTATTAACAGCAGTACAGCGTTACTGCATTCCCCCAGCTGACAAAGGGTTTCCAGAAATGGAAAACACCCTCTCATTTACCCTGATTTCCAAGCTGTTCCTCACCCATACAGGCACAGAATACCCAAGAACTCAAAGGTGTTTGAAAAGGGAAAAGAAAAAGAAGAAAACAAAAATCAGCATTTGCATTTCTGAAATTAAGAAACCTTGGGAAACTCCATCTGTCACCACACTTTGATCAAGAGAAGTCACCTTCTTACACAGCCTGGCAGACAGCTCTGAACTAGCAAGCTTTGTTCTGAGCAACAATAAATAAATTAAAAACCTCATCCCATGTGCTACAGTTCAGGGTGCACAACAGCTTCCAGTCCAAATTCAAGTCAAGCATGCTCACCAAAATTTAAGTTTTCTTGATATTGCCCTCCCTGGGGGCAGGGCCCACCAGAGTAGATAAAGAGTCGTGGCACCTGAGAAAAGCCACAGCTCTCTGCCTGACTCCTGAAGCCAAACCTGCTCTGCTTGGACTTCTCATTCCTCCCCAAAACTGCAGCCTGGCTTAAGCAAGGTTTAGGAAAACTGCATTTTCCTTAGCTGGGCTCACACAAATAAAGCCTCATTCTCATGAATTTGGGTGCTGCCCCACGCACCCTGAACCACAGCTCACCTCTCTGTTTCTGTGACAGCCTCCATCCCTCACACACGAGCCCTGCTGAGCTGCCCCTGTGTTTCACCACCTCTCAACTCTCTCAGAGCTGAGAGTTCTTTCAGTCACTCACTAGAGAAGCTGACAAAGCGACTTCAGATACACCTGTATTCCCCTCCTGGTATTTTCCAGGGGAACAATTCTGCTGCCTCACTTCCCCCATCACTTCCCTGCTCAGTAAACTGATGAAGTCAGGCAAGCCCTTTATGTTTTTCTGCTTACATTGTGAGTTTTTTAATCCTGCTGGCAGTTTTATGAAATGTTAACTTCTCTATCCACCAGGGGGAAAACAGCAAACCACTTTTTAAATTGAAATTTCAGCATCAACAGCTGAGTTTTCAAATCCCAGAAAAGCACAGTGGGACCGGATCTCACCAGGTCACCTTTCTGTCCCTAGCAAGGAGCAATTTCACCTAGGTCAGTTTTGCCAGAGGCAGGTTTAACCTGTTCTGTCAGCTCTGCTCCCTACCCTTTGTAGCAATCCACAGCAGTGCCCCACTAACATCACAAAGGATTTTCACAGCATCTAATGTGAATCTTTCCTTCTGAAATTTAAGTTCCTTGCTCCACCTTACATGGACATAATAGACACTGACATGTTCTGGCAACTTCTCACATACCTGAGCAATTTTGATTTTTCTTCTCAGCCTCCTCTTCTGCAGAGAGTCCATCTTTTCATTTTGTCCTCTAGGTCCAATTTCCTGGATGTCTGACTACTCCTGCTCCACTCCTCTGGCTCCCTCTTTCTCCAAGTGCACCAGCAGTGCTGTGCATGTGCTCTGCTGTGTTTAAGGCCATAATAACCAGTGAAGAGTTCAGTGCCCAGTTCATGGCTCTTGCAGGTTAGGGGTGTGTTAAATACATAGTAAATGTCTCTTTGCACAACAGCAGCAGCACTGATTTATTATTTCCAACTGCACAACACTGACTCTTCCCCAACACATGACTCCCACGAGCCCTAGGACTGTTCTCCAGAACCGCTGCCCAGTGGGCTCCACTCCTGAGGCTGAAAAAGTCTATTTAAATATTGCAACATTCAGCTTTCACCTCTGAATTCCATCCCAACTGCAAAACTCATTTGGCCAAGATTATTTTTAGTTCTACAGGTCTCCCAGCATACTCATATCCTGTGCTTTCAAGTCACCTACAAACAAATATATTCCTGTACTGGCCTCTGCCAAGGTCCATTTCAACAGTGAGCAGCTGCTGCTCCCTGGGCACAGCCACCCAAGCCCTGTGCCTGCAGGATTCACTCATCCACAGTCCTGAGTGACCCACAGAACAACCACGGAGTCGCTGTCAAATCCCCACATCCTGCTGCTGCTGAAGCCAAAGCAGAGCACCACACTTGTCTCATTATACAGAAGTGCCCATAAATCTCACATACTGACGTTTTTCAAAGCCACGTGCAAGATGCAGTTTCAATTAAGAAAAGATAGCAGAAAAGTGTGATGAGAAGTGCTGGGACAGCCCAAGAGGTGCAGGCAGGAAAGCTCAGGAGCTGCTGCCACCCTGCACAGCCCTGCAGGTGACACAGAGCCCAGAGCAAGAGCCAGGCCTGGCCAGGCCAAGCTGGCACCAAAGCAAGCTTCTCTGCCTTGGGCTGGCAGGACGTGCACCCACCTGACACAAACCCTGCCTTCTCTCCCCTCAGCTCCTGCTGAGCAAACCCTCCCTGCACAGCACAGGCACAGCAGCACCACCCTGCCTGCCCCCTGACAAAAGCAGCTCCACTGATGGCTCCAGCACTTGGAAGGACAGCGTTTCCAAGTCCACAAAAACCCCTAGAAGACATCTACTGCTTCATATGCTTTCGCTTTTTTTAATTCAGAAAGTCTTTCAGCACATCTATTATAAATATTAATTCATTACATAAACTCACTCTTTTGTACATACATTGCTATAGCTTTAGCTAAAGAGTGATGTTATTGGATTGCTTTTAAAAATACCAGCCTACAGAAGACATTTATAGCAAATATACAGCCTATTTTACTTCATTCTACACCAAGTATACAACACTGAGAACTGCAGTACACAACTGCAGGGACAGCTGATCATGCCTGACAGGCACAAACAGTCACTCTCACAAAGCTACCCGAAACCTGAATCAAAACCAAGAGAACTTAAAGCAGGTTTTCCACTCAGGATATAGTTCTGAAGGAATAACTCTGCATAAAGCTGCAAACTGAAGAAATATGTCAAAACACAAGGAGTTACTTAAAACTCCAGGGATTTACCTGTGACTATCACTTGACGCTGCCTGCTAGGTAACAATTTACTGGAGGAGAAATATCCAGACCTTCCCAGGCAGGCATGGTGAGAATCTGAGGATCCTCTCTCAGTCCTGATTCTTGGGTGCTCACTGGCAGCATATGAACCTTGTAGCAAAGGCACCACAAATTTTTACAGCACTAATCTCTCACACAGGGTGTTATTTTCCTCTCACAACAGCTCAAAAAGACAAAAATGCTCTGAAGAGTGATAAAATCACTCTTTAGTCAATGAATACGTAGTTTTACTGAAACACTGATGACAATATGCTACTGCCATGTGCTCAGGTTTCCCTTCAGAATGGATAATACCAAGGAACCTGTAGGCTGATTCAGAATATGATGGCATAACATTTTTAGAATTGTTAGCTGACATAAACCAGAAAATGGTTTAAAACTTTTGTCTAGTTGGTTCTTCTACAGAAATACCTACTAAATACCTAATTTAACATAGATGGAGGTCAGATGTCGCAAGTTACTTAGTACTTTCTTAGCATGTAAGAAATTTAGAGCTTCTTCTTCCATCAGCATTACCCACAAATACACAGCAAGGTGGAGAAGACTTTTGGTGCAGAAGGGATTTTGAAGAGAAATCCAGTTAAGAAGGAATGATACAAATTCACGTGCAAAACTATCCTCCAAGGTAACCTACCTCAATGTCTTGTAGGCTGAACTCTTTTTGATCTTTGAAGTTTGCAGCTCCCGCACTCAGTTCCATCAGCATTTTTGCTATTTCTGGTTTTATTGCTGCTGTGAGTCGGCTCGCCGCTTCCATGACATGTTCCTGCACGTCTTTCAGTTGCATAGCTGCCTTAGAGTAGTGCGAGTTCCTGAACACGCTGCTGAAAAGCTCGGTGAGGAAAGTGCTCGTACGGCAAAACACGTTGAGGGCATCCAGGTATTTGGAGATTCCCTGCTGGATGTCTGCGATGGGAGTCGTGTGGGAGGCGGGGTGGGAGCAGCCGCCGGCAGCAGCCGGGGACACCAGGGGGGTGCTGGGGGTGGCCGAGGCCAGCGGGGCGCTCAGGGTCCTGCCCAGCTCGGGCATTTGATACTGCTGGTGTTGCTGCACCTTCTGCTTGGACCCGCCAAGCAAGAAGCGCCGCTTATAGTCCATTTTGCTTTCTTGTGCACTGCAGCAATACATAAGTGAGTGCTTGTCCAGAGAGTTCTTGAATTAACAATCACTTGTCAAATTCCTTCCTCGGGTATCTATGTACAGTACCAGTGCAGCACTGTGTACATAGGTTTCACAAAAGGCATTTCAGAAAGGCAAGCGTCTGTATAATCTGTATCAGCAGTGGGAACGGCAGCACATTTGCTGACTCCGTGTTTTCAATGTTGGGTGCAGCCCTGCTGCAGTTATAAACTGTACTCAAAAAGCAAGCCCAAGTATCTCGATTAAGCTCTGTCCCTTTGTGGTATCCCCTCTGCAGGCAGAAAAGCCAACTGGAGCAGAGAAGTGATCGCCTACTGGTTCTTCACGAGCACAACACTGTCTCTTGCTGTTGCATCTACAAAACTTAAATTTTGTCAATGCAAATAATAGTTTAGAAGCAATACCTTAATACAATTCTCCCATTAGTAGTATCAGGAAAAGTGGAGCAAACCACCGATCAACAGCGATTATAAAAGCAGTGCAGAGGCTCTTTCCTTGAAAAAGCAAATCCTTATGTCAGCAGATCAAATATCTTCAAATGTCTTGACAGATCCAGTCTGCCAACTCAGTTTACTTGTAGTGTCTCTTCTTAGTATTGGAGGGGGGAAAAAACTCTGGACTGTTTACAGAAGACTTTGCAAGTATAAGCTATTAAAAACTAGAGTGTTTGTTATTGCAAGCCTTCTTCCCCTTTCCCTGTTTGTTGAGGTAGTTGTTTCCGTTGTAACTTTAAGAAGTGGTGCTTCCAGACTGCGTTTGCCCTCAATTGCAGACTCAGAACAAAAATGCACAAATGTATTTGTAAGGCCTCTAGGTCATTTCCTGCGCAGGGGAAAAAAAAAAAAAAAGTTATACATCAGAGAACAATGAGAAGGTTTAAAAATTTAAAAAATTTAACTCCTGCAGTGTCCTGGTTCACATTTCTGGGCACACACTGTCAACAACACCCAAGATCCAAAGGGGAGAGCTGCACTGAGTTGAAAAAACTGTTAGAAGCCAGTGTCATCCTGTGGCTAAACTCAACACTGTTGGATATTTTCTTGTTAATTCTTTCATTGTAGGCTGTCAAACTTAAGTCTGGTCAATCCCCAGTGCAAGTGTTGCACAGTTAAGAACAGTGCAAGGTTGTTACTGCAGAGCTCAAGGGGAGTTAATCACATTTTCTAATCTCATCCTTTAAAAATAATTTTAAAATGAAATAAATTAAAACTTTTTTTCATGCAAGATAATTTATTGCAGAACTCTCCCATTCATTTTAATAGTTTACTAAGTCAACAGATACAGGTCCCTAGTTTTTTATGTAGTACAACAACAGACCAATCTGCCTAATCCTGAGATTAGCTGAGAAATGCAACATTCATGTCCCATTCCAGTGTGATGGGCAGGCAGCATCTCTCACACACAAGGTGGTACATGAGGCACAACTGCCTAAGAATAAGATTGCACGTTTCCTAACATCTCTCACACAAGGTGGTACATGAGGCACAACTGCCTAACTAAATAACACTCTGAGCACACATCAAAGTACAGAGGAAATACACCTTCTGTACTGCCCTGTTCCTCCTGGCAAGCCCTGGTGCAGCTGGAGAGCCAAGGGCTGCTGGAGGGCATCTGCAGCAAGGTGAGCAGAGCCTGAGCAGTGGGAAAGGGATGAGATGGAGCACCAGGTGTCCAATGCCAGACACTCAAACAGTGTCAGGACAGTATCAGAAGGCTACAACTCCTCCCACCAGTTTGCCCAGTCCTAGCTCCAGTCACACTTCAGGCCACTCTCTCCCTCTCCTACACACCCACTTGATTCTATCAAACAAGGGCATCCTTCTCCTTACTGCAGCAATTGCAATGTCTCAACATTCATGTCCCATTCCAGTGTGATGGGCAGGCAGCATCTCTCACACACAAGGTGGTACATGAGGCACAACTGCCTAAGAATAAGATTGCACTAAATAACACTGAGCACACATCAAAGTAGAGAGGAAGTACACCTTCTGTACTGCCCTGCTCCTCCTGGCAAGCCCTGGTGCAGCTGGAGAGCCAAGGGCTGCTGGAGGGCATCTGCAGCAAGGTGAGCAGAGCCTGAGCAGTGGGAAAGGGATGAGATGGAGCACCAGGTGTCCAACGCCAGACTCAGTGTCAGGACAGTATCAGAAGGCTACAACTCCTCCCACCAGTTTGCCCAGTCCTAGCTCCAGTCACACTTCAGGCCACTCTCTCCCTCTCCTACACACCCCACTTGATTCTATCAAACAAGGGCATCCTTCTCCTTACTGCAGCAATTGCAATGTCAAAGGCACTTGGAAGAATAGTCCAGTGCCAGACACTCAAACAGTGTCAGGACAGTATCAGAAGGCTACAACTCCTCCCACCAGTTTGCCCAGTCCTAGCTCCAGTCACACTTCAGGCCACTCTCTCCCTCTCCTACACACCCCACTTGATTCTATCAAACAAGGGCATCCTTCTCCTTACTGCAGCAATTGCAATGTCAAAGGCACTTGGAAGAATAGTCCAGGAACCCTTTCATTTAACAACAAAATGTTCCTTTAGCTATTATATTTGAGCAATGAAATCTGTAGTAATATTGTCAGAACGGCTGGGGAAGAATTTCTTATTTCCACCTGTCTGAACACACACAATATTCATTCATTCATTCATTCATTCCCATTTTGGCATATATGTAGGACACAAGCATCCCACAGATAAAGAGGAAGGCAAGACACAGCAGGACAAAACATCCAGAGCTGGGTAGTCTCACCTCCACTAAAACAGGACACAAGTTTTTCAGGAACTGATTGCTGCAGATGGTTTTGCTTCAGAGATCTGGAGCAAATATTCTTTTGCATTTGCACTTTTTAAAACCTAAAACTCAAAGAAACTCCCACATGCATTTCAGCATCCTTTAAGTACTCCAAGCTGACTATTTACCTCCCTGCTTCTCTCAATTTTCACACTAAATGTGACAAAATGCAAGAAACTCATTAAAACCATAATTTTCTAGGATGTCCTGATGTCACATGCATAGCTGAAAATAATTTTCTCCTTGTTTTACAAGTTATGGTGTCTTACAGTGGAGAGCATGATTAAATTGGTTTCCTTGATTGCATATAAATGTAAATAGAGTAAGAGAGTTGGTTAATTTAAATGCAACATATAAGTAAATTAGTGATTGTTTTTGCTAAGTAGACGTGAAATTTCTCATTGCAGAGGAACTTAAGAAATTATCATGAAAGAAAAAACTAAGAAGGAAGGGTTTTCAAGCTCTACAGTACTGATTTAGATGAGATTATCAGAGATGCACCTCAGCTCAGTGTTTGTGATTACACCCAGAGCCTGTCAGGATCAAACACACTGAACCCATCATTTGGAATGGTTAAATATTTACCATTAATATAATATATACATAAACCTGCTGCATAAAAGAACATAAATGCAATGAATAGGAAAAAAATGGTGGCTTCATTATTTTCTACAGTTATAAACAAAAATGATAAATCATTGTGTTTTACTTCTAGACAATTTTGTAGTCAAACTTGCAGCTACTTACTCAACTCTTCAGCTTCAAAATTCCCTTGCAATAAAACCTACACAGAAGCTTAAAGAGGACAGCCTGTATCTTCAGCTGATATTTATTCAGAGAGAGGAAAGCTGCACGCCTCAACACCAGACATGTGTCTGAATACTATGTCTGAAACTCTATAATGAGCTCTCTGACATGCTACATACAAAATAAACATTCCTCATTTTGCATCTTTTCCTGAAAAAGTGAAGCACAGAGGTTCCCACGCTCTCCCTTCCCTGCCCTCTGCTTTTGGTGTGTGCCCGAAATGTGAGGGCTCCACACTGCACTGCAGGGACTTCAGGCCAATCCACCTCTCGCCACCTTAGGGGCAAAAAGTAACCAAGGGTTTCCTCCTAGTGATACAAGAACAGCATGTTAGCACCCAAAACATAAACCTTAAGCTTGTACTTCATTTTGTGGAAAATAGAAATACCCACAGAAACCAAGTGAAGGAATTACCAAAAAAGTTACCATACCACAGGAAAAGGTATTTTAGTCCTTCCTTTATGTAATCAAAACCAAAACTGTGCTGTTCAGGTACCATTAAAGACTGTAACAGAATTAATATATAACATGAACCCAGCTCCACCCTGAACACTACCCTGCTTGGCAAAACACTACTGGAAAAGCTCAACATGTTGTTTGCATTCTCACTTCAAGGAGTTAATGCCAAAGTTAAGGAACTGCTGCGAGTTTGGACTGTTTGAACTTCCAGAGAATCAGACAGCTGCACAAGCTCCTCTAAAAATGGCTTTATTTGCATAGAGGAAACAGAAATTGCAGGAAAATGAATACAAACGCAAATCTGTCCACTACTTTTTTTAAATGTAGCATCCAAATATTTTTGCTTAGATACTTTCCAGAAAAATGCTTTTTCCTAACTTCACCAGTCGCAAGAGATACAGTGAAGGAATTACCAAAAAAGTTACCATACCACAGGAAAAGGTATTTTAGTCCTTCCTTTATGTAATCAAAACCAAAACTGTGCTGTTCAGGTACTATTAAAGACTGTAACAGAATTAATATATAACATAAACCCAGCTCCACACTGAACACTACCCTGCTTGGCAAAACACTACTGGAAAAGCTCAACATGCTGTTTGCAGAGTTAATGCCAAAGTTAAGGAACTGCTACGAGTTTGGACTGTTTGAACTTCCAGAGAATCAGACAGCTGCACAAGCTCCTCTAAAAATGCAGTTATTTGCATAGAGGAAACAGAAATTGCAGGAAAATGAATACAAACGCAAATCTGTCCACTACTTTTTTTAAATGTAGCATCCAAATATTTTTGCTTAGATACTTTCCAGAAAAATGCTTTTTCCTAACTTCACCAGTCGCAAGAGATAAATAAAGAATAAACAGGGAAGACTTTCAGACAAGTGGAGTTTGGTACCCCCAATTTGTTTGGGACCAGCACGAGGAGTCCAATTCCCCATCTGTCCTGTTTGGGATTACCCTGCAGGAAGAGAAAGCAACTTTTTCCCCAAATAAACACAAGGAATTGAGCAGAGGAAGCAGTGCTTTAAAAAAGATTCTGACTCGCGACTTTTAAAACTGGCAAAAGTTTGCCTGCAATTGGTGTTCCTTATGGATTCTGTTGGCCTTCCAGAGAATATGCAATAAAACACAGAAGAGTCAGATAGTCCAAAACACCTGAGCCAACTTTTTAATGTAACATTTCATGCTGGTTTTAATTAGATGAGATACAGATTCCAAATCTCAGGATGAACTTAACACCGCACCCACCATTTATGTAAAACAAACTAAATCCAATTAATGTTCAAAAAAAAGCCAAGTCCAAAAGAGACAACCCAGAGCAGCCAGATTGCTTACCCAGGAAAAGCCTGAACAAACAAACCCACTGCGAGGCCAAAAGGCCAGGAAGCTGCCAGAGCCAAGGGCCTCCTGTGAAAAACACACAGAAGTCTCCCTGACATTCAGAAATACAAATGTGGTGCAAATCCAAAGTCACTCGACGAGGAAAGGTGGCATTCCACCTTCACAGGCTCGTGCCACTAACGTGTACATCCCATCCATCACCTGGCCAGGCCAGCCGACATCCCAATGTGAACACCTGAAACCAAAGGCATCCCAAATGGTCCTCAACACCTGCACAGCAACCCGGGAGCAGGAGGCCAAGGGAAGCCTGTACACCGCTTCCTGAGGACTGCTCAGTGTCCCTCTGTCCCCAACACAGCTGGCTCAGGGCTGGAAGAGTGAGTAGGCAACAACAATTTGTGTGCAGGCATCCAGCTGGAAACAGCC